CAACAACAACTGCTACAACAGCTACAACAACAACTGCTACAACAGCTACAACAACTACAACAACAACTGCGGCAGCTGCAGCACTGCTTGTTTATTTATTTATAACATTTTGTTTGCTGCTCGCTGCCTCGCCGCCTGCTGTTTGCTGTCGCGTTTCCTGATTATGATACACCCCTGGCATTGTGGGGTATATTGGCTGGGTCATTAAACATGCCCAACACACGGCGCAAAGCACACGTCCAACCTGTCTCGTCAGTGCTCGCATTTTATATGCAACTGCAGGCTGTCTAATAATGTCTTAACTAATTCTAAATTTAGTTTTACATAGTAAGTGCAACTGCGGAATGATTGAATCGATCGGAATGAGTAATGGAATAAGCCAAAGGTATTTCGATATCTCGAAATGTATTTGAAATATTGCACGGTATAAGTGAAACGAATAATGTGAATGTGCCGAATGATATTCGTTTTGTGATTCATTTTAAGTGCATCGCGGATGATTGTGTTAATGGCAATGATCGAAAGTGATGAAAGAGAATGATGTTAATGATGACTTTGTATTAGAGTTGACTAGTTTACGAGGGAATGATGTGAAAAACTTTGAATAATATAAATGAAATTTATGGTATTCATACGAGATAGTAAATCATTGCGAGGGATGATGGCCATGTTAACAAATATGTATTATATTATACTTAAGCAAGGCAATAAAGAAGACAGAGTAGTTAATGTGTTTATCTAACGAATTTATGATGATATCTAATTTTTAAATTCATATGAATTATTCAATTATTGATTCGGAATGCCTGAAGAAAAAAATGAGTTAAGCTCTTGTGAATGATTCGTTCCGTATATCCAAATAATAGAAAAATATATACATGCAAATGGGTTTTATTTTATTCCTACTTTATTCAGGAGCTTAAAATTTCTTAATTTCATAATTCCATTATATCCCGCTTTACTTTAACGATGACGAATGAATTCAATTTGAGGATTGATATGTTAATCCAATTGCATATTCGAATAATTATTAATTTAACGGAAAACGTAAACGGAGAAACTTTTTGCTCAATAGCACGTTTGATTGTATTTCAAAAAGTGTCGGACTCTGGGCGAAGTTTTCTTTATTTGATGCAACATAAAATTCATTAAAAAGTTTTTCTGTGGAACATAATGAGAGTGAGAGAGCTGAAAAACTGGTGGGAATATTAAATTTCCCAGTCGTAGCCTGAAATATAAGTGTATGAAAACTTTTTGTTGGGCTTGTTTCACTGATTGGAAATGAAACATGAGAAGAATTTGCTTGTTAATGTTGGAGTCACTTGGTTTGCTAGGATAACATGGTTCAAATGTGTATACATTGTTTATGTACTCTATATATTTCAGGGTATTTGCTCTTCGTTGCGCTCTATAAACTGATTTCCCTTGCCTGTTTTGAATTCATTTTCATGCTGGGCTTGCCATGAATGATAAGCGCAAGTACTTCAAAGTAGCTAACGTGCTGCCAGTCTGCCACTGACTCTGCCACTGCCCCCTGCAACCGCCCCTGCACCTGCCACGGGCACCCCTGGCCACCCTCTGCAGCCGTTTCTCAATTGTTTGCCCCACTGTCGGTCGCTGTGGGGCTGTCAGTGCCATTGTCAGACAGCGTCAGATTGGTTCATTGTTTTTATTATGATTTCTCTTTTTTTTTTGTTTCTTTCGTTTTTGTATATTTTGTTCTTTTTGTAGTTAATTAATTTTATATACTTACCGTTGCACTTTTATGGCACTAACAAATTGCTGCAGCCCCAAGGCGTTTGCCATTGTTGTTGTCCCAGCTCGTTGTTGTTGTTGTTGCTTGTGCATTCCATAAATTGGCTTCCACTTGGTGCTTTGCTTTATGATATGGCCATCTGGCGTATTGGATAAATCGTATACTTTGCAGAGCTGCTCTCTGTTAACCTTTTGACATCTAAAGCTTTCAGTTTCCCGTTTTTGCTCGCCCCTTTCCACTCTAATACATTCCAGTGCATCATGCGGCACCGTTCTAAGCATGATTGATCAATGTTGACAGATTTAACGAGCTGCTAAAGTGCTGCAAAACAATTCAATTATCGAAGCGAGTGTGTGTGTGTGTGTGTGTGTGTGTGTGTGGGTGTGTTAGTGAGTGAGTGCTGGTGCTGCTGCTACTGGGCAAATGGAAGGTAAACATTTGCATATATATGCTTAACCTTTTTATAACCAGCTGCAAATGCATCATCGGTCTTACATCATCTGGAACATGATTATCAGCAGCAGGCAACATCATGATGAGCTATGGAACTACCGGGACGCACAGAGCGTATATTTGGGAATGTGTTTTGAAACTAAAAGTTGTCAAGGTATATACGGATATATGCTTATATGAGAAAGTCAGGGAGAAGCCATGCGAAGCGTAATTCCTGCAATTTTGCCTTCGATTTCATTGATTTGTGACGTGGCGCATTACATTTTTCATTTTCTTTATATGAGGTCACGCTGTCGTCTTTATTTAATAATCATGTAAGCATTCACCAGTTGAAAGTATAAAGCTTATATAGCCAAGTTACATGTGGGTCACCCACAAAGTGCTTTGATTAAGTTTCTACAGTCTAGACTTGGAGTTTTTTAGCTAAAAAATATATCTATTGAAGAGCTGACTTATTTAGCAAAATTATAATCTATTTTCACAAATATCTAAAGCATAATTAGATGAAAACTACAATACTGCTAATAATTTCCACATGAATATTTCATATTTAATAAATTTTCAATGAATTTCATGGCCCCTGAACGCCCATTATGCAGTCGGTTGGATCCCATTGCAATGTGCTTACGTATTTCCACTTAGTTTGCCACGTTTTTAGTTGCAATGCCTGTGTAATTATTTATGTGTGTGCTGACCTGCCACACACTTCACACAGCTCACACACACACATTAACAGGCATGGCAGCTTATAAATAATTCAGTTTGTATTTCAATTGCGTGATTTCGCTACCCTTCAAAAAAACGAAAAAAAAAAAAAAATAAATAAATGAATAAGAATAAACAGAAATGAAAATATTTTCATCATTTATAGCGGATTCATTTATTTATTTATTGATGCATATTCGGGTTTTTCTTTCCCTCTGCTTCCTCTTCTTGTATTCAGCGAGTGCAAGGTCTCTGTTGTCAGCTTATGACAATACGAATTTAATCGCTCTCTGGGCTGCTGCTGTCTGAGCGTAATGCGATTTCAATGCCGTCTAGATTTCAGCTGGCCATTGGCCAAAAAGTATCTCAATATTACTTAAGTTTGCGCGCGCCTTGTTTATGTAGCCAGAGGTTAGCCAGGTCTTTGCCATAAATTTCTGCAGATAAAGATGCCGAAGCATTTGCAAAGTAATTTATAGTTAATAATGGTCTTTAGTAAGTGATTTGTGATTGCTTTATCTATTTTTTTGATTTATCAAGTGAACTGCAATTTAGTAGGGCATTATGTTAGTGATGGGCAGTAAATATTGAGAAATGATTTTTGGGGTAAATTTTAGTGTAGTTAGATTGAAGAATTGTTGCATGTTTGGGTTTTTTTCTTTTTTATATACTAGCTAAATATTTTTAATAAATTGCGCTGGTCTCAGCTGTTATTGCTCGTAGAGTTTTTGCCCTTTTTTAACAGCCCCACTTTCTTTCCAACTTAATCTTGCCAGCTCCCACTCTACATCTAGAATTCTCCCCTCTTTAAAAGAGCTTCACATTCCAATTATTCCACAAACATCTAGCTTTATCTTACCAGCTATATCATATATATCATCTTGACAGCTTTCCATCCCATCCTCAGCCAATTATCACATTTTACACTCAATTTGCTCACAGTTAGCTCAGCTTTTCCTTTAGCACTCTAATTAATTTGGCTCATCAATTTTCTAATAGCCGCTCAGCGTGATAATAGCAAACTCTTCAGGCGCGTAACTTCACTCTCGGCTAAGTACATAATTTCTGTTAATTTTTGTTCCGAACGATCTAATGCTGCATTATTTGGCTCTTAACTAACTGGGCTAAGCACGCATTACGCTGTGCGGCCCCGTTGTCTGTGTTTAGGCCTTCATATTTTGGCAGACATGTGAGAGAAAAGTTGAGCTGAACTTTTGTTTTGCCAACTGCCAGCAAAGTTGGTCCAGCAGCTGTTCCCGACTGTCCTGCCAAATCCTGCTGAGAGCATATCACTCGCAACTTTGGACAGCAGCAGCAACATCCTCTGTCCACTCGCTGCTCAATGCGAATGTTGAACAATTTAATGAGCACGAAAATTGCTGCGAAATGCGAAATTCTAAATAATTCATTTATGTTTTGTGGCCAAAGTTTTTGTTTTTATTCATTGCCATTACGCCCGGCAGACGCTCTTCAATTAAACTGAGCACAATCAATGCTTTAATTAGTGCAAACATCCTGCAGACATGTGGCGTAGGTGAAATTGACTTGTTTGAAGTTTATTTGACTCTGAAAAGCTTTTTATCTTCATTTAATTAAATTGCTCTTCTAGTTGAGCACTCTCTGGACATTTATATCGATGTGTTTTTGTTTGCCATGAGTGAGCACATTTCCTGCATTGTTTGTCTTTGCAACTTCATTATTGGTTGAATTTTGTTAGTTTTGGGAGCTACTTGACAATTTGCTTCTCAATTTGCAATTTGAATTCTTTATTCTATTTTACGAATTCTACTTTAAGAATAAATTAAGAATTATATAATATTATTTTTATTAATAATAATATTTGCTGTAGAATAAGTCTTTAGTTAAAATCAAATTAGGAGTTGCTTAAATGTATAGCCATAATTTGAATAGACATATTTTTTTATATTAAGGACTACTCGTATTATTATTATTATTATTATTATTATTATGATTATTAATATTATTATTATTATTATTATTATTATTATTATAAATATTATTATTATTATTATTATTATTATTATTATTATTATTATTATTATTATT